TCTGGTGATCGGATTGTGGCGAGGTGTAAGCTTATGAGAAGAAAGGCATAGCGTTAGAGCGAGGATAACGCGCGGCACAGAATGGTGTCGTTAAAAGGGTCGTAAGGTTTCGATTCGTCCTGATATTCGGGTATATAGGTATAGAGTTCAGCGGCACGTTCGTGGGTGACACGCGCTCAATTTAGTTCGCGACGTAGTCGCGTCAGTGCGTCCAACTATTAGCGTCAGGTGCTAAAATAAGCTTTGACCTATGTTATATCTACAGCAGCGACAGTCAGGCATGGAGGACAGGCATGGAGCGCTCGTCGCACAGGTTGTAAGCACATTGTATCCGTCCATCCGTCGGCTGTCCTCGTTGCTTCCAAATCCTAGAAAACCAATATCCAAATACGAAATCTCCTCTCAACATTGTTACAAATATTCCATACAAGTACATTTCATACTATAACGGACACCAAATTTACAGATCATATTTATGGAATGTCTACTATCTATAAGACGCACTCCAATTCTGAATCGATTTATCTGCTAATCTATTAAAATAAATATGATTTCCTAAAGAAATACAATAAAATATACATTACTTGACTTGTGATAATTATTTCAAATGTTATCCTTAATCTAATAATAAAAAAAAGGTGAAGTTATAAAAGAAAATGCATTTATTATGGTGTTTATCTGAGTAATTTAATTTTAATTTCAAATATAAAATAAATGAGTTGAGGCTATCAGAAATTAAATGCATTATGAGATTAAAAATGTATTAAATTTGCTAATCTGATAATTAAATAAATACAGTAATTAAATATTTAAAATAAATAAACAAACTTTATAAGCCGGATCAGTTACGAAACTGTTATATGTCTACGTGCTGAACAACAGTAAGGCTCGCAATTTTTAAAATTAGTCATCAATCATCCGGATTTAGTTTAGCGTCTCGACGTTTTGTTAAATAAATAACTTCGTTGTATAACAAGCTAATGACCGGACGTCGCTTTAAATATTAGGTGGTTACCTTACTAAATGCGGGGAGGCGTTGAAGTTAGTCTTTCTCTCATCAGCTACTTCATTTTTTTGTGTTACTGTATAAACATTCCATTGCGAGATTCGACTATATTTATATAATTTTATTTAAAAGTTTAATATTCGTTTAATAATAATTCAATTCATGTACGTTTATATAATAGACTTATTGCGTAGAAGTTTTCACGTTCTTCTGCGGTTTTTTTTTTGTATAAAAGTAAATCAGATGATGAACTTTGTATTATGTTCTATTATATAATTGATAGCGATGTTTGATTAAGTTTTGTCATTTCGCGTGTGTAAATCATTGAAGATGTAGATGTTACTGTACGGAACAGAACGTTCCAGATATGCATGTTTCGTAATGCGAAGAGTAATTTATGATGCACTGGGTGTCCTCAGGTGGAGGAAGAGTATAGGCTGTGTGTAGTATGTATCATTACGGATCACTTCACGCCGCCTCACGCCGTACACGCATTAATTGCAGCAACCGGATTTTGCAGAGGATTCCTCGGACTATTGTCGCAAATTGGAAGCGACCGTCCATCCGAAACCTGAAACTTATTACCGCCAGAAACGGACTGATCAGGTTCTGCCTTGCACAGTCTGAGCCTCAAGTGCCCTTAGAGATCGTGGACTACCCAGGCAAATTAGTATATTCGCCTTTCCCAAAGGTTTTCGACCCGTTACCATTCCAAAGCGCAATTCTCCCCAATCATATTGCTAACAATCTACCCAAACAAGATTTCAACGATCTCAATGAAATCTCGTTAATATCTTGCATTAATTCACCTTAGGGAATACAAGGGGATTCGCTCCATCCCCAGGGTTTCTCATTAACAATTAAACACGTAATTATCGAATCGAAATAGGTGTCCCCTAATTATGTTGGATTGAAATTTCGTAACCTTGACACCAAAATATCATTGGCTTGGTTATTTCCTGAAAAACACGTGCGAACAGAATAAAGGATTGAAAATATTACGAAAAAAAAAGAAGAGAGTGAGATGAAAAAACAGACACAATAGTACCAGACGGAATACGTCGAAGTCGGGTTTTCAAACAAAAGAGAACACCAGAATTCCGACTGTCTGGAATAAATCAGCGTTCGCACGTCGGATTAGCATAATTCACAAATCCGTAGGATTATTTTAGATTTCGTGTTGTAGTTTTTTTTTAAATTATCATTTAAAATTTCATAATTATTCAATTTTTATCAAAGTTTTCATAGATTCTAGCAGATTATTTTCAATTGCAAACGATAGCAATTCTAGACTGTTTATCGATTTTTATCTAAACTATTGTTATACATTTAACAAACACGGGTTTCGTATTTTATAACGAAACACGAACTATTATAGAGATTCTTATCTCCACTGTAATAATAAATAAAATTATTGTCTAATACTATTTATATTATTTCAACAAATTATATTTTTTATACTATTATCGAATATTTATTGCACCTTATTTATAAACTCAATTCTCTATACAAAAAAACAATGCTGCACATGTTCATATAATAAATATAAATGATTGAAAAGTTTCACTGTTTTTGCGGTTTGATTCAATGAAAGAGAAATCGCATATTGTAATTCGGATGTTACGCGTTTCTAACAAAAAAACGTTTCGGAGATTGCATTTCGCAAACAGTTACAAAAATTTGAAAAATGTTATGTAAGTACGCGTATTTGGTGCAGAAAGACCGATGGTCCATAACCAGTTGCGGTCCATTGAATACCTTCAGTTTTTTCGGAAAAAAAAAATTGTAATTTATTGTTTAAATTGTTTTTTTTTCTCTCTCTTTTATTGTTTGCAAACTGTAAAACATCATCATTCAAATTGAATCATAATATTATCTAATGTCAATAGGTGCAATTATTGGAGTACAATAGATCAATAATTATATCGAATTTACTGTAAAGATAATAATTTATCTTAAGTGCATTCCTCTCTAAAAATTAGTATAATTCAGTTGATCTCAATTACTCAATTCTATTTGATAAAAGCAATGCGTTTTATTTGAAATATTTTTTTTTAAATGATTTCAATCCTTTTTGATATTTCCACTTTAATTATTTGGGAAATGAATATTGAGAATAAATATGTGAAAATTATAATAATTTAACTATTTTTAATACTTGGAATTTCCTACATATTTCCACTCAAGCAAAACTTATTACTTTCCTTATAAGTAAACATATAAAAAAGTGCAATCGTTTCAGAGATAATCGGAATTTGTTTTTAATGTAGGTTATATAACTTAGACTTATATCACTTACAAATCGATGTTGCAATCGACGAGCGGAATTGGAATTTCTATTGGGCGATTATATAAAATTTCACGAACATTGAAATACGCATTTGGTAGATGCGTTGTATTTCATTCATTATTATAGCAGTAAAAAATGGAATTCCCCTAATAATTTTGAGTGAGTGTACAAATGAAACGTTTTTTTTTGTTTAAGAATTTCCGAAGTAACATTGTTTTCAAACATTGTGTATTATGTAACCCATTTTATCGATTTATTTCGGTTTTTAAAACAATCGATCGTAAATTCATTCACAATCTGGAGTTCCAGTCGTTTTTAGCTGAGATCTAAAAATAACTATGCAATAAATGTGCTACAATTATATAATATTTGCATACATTTCTCGCGAATAAAATTTTATTTCATTATTTGACATGTTAAAATTAATTAATTGCAATCATTTTTTTTTTCGTAAATCTTAACTGGATTTCGTATATCTACATAAAATTGTCTTATCATGAGTAAAAATTAAAAGAAAAATGTTAAATTTGTTAGAAATGCATAGTTTTTGAATTTCCAAGTATCATATTTCAATTCAATGCTTGATAATGCTTACAAATATATATTAATTTTAATAGGAAAGGAAATTTGCGGACTAATAAATTATCGGAGTTAGAATACAATTTCATTATGTAATATTTCAAAATGTAATTACTTTGAATTTTCATTGTAAAATATATAATATACGTTTTTATTGGTATAAACTAATTTTTAGATAAATTTGTTTATAAATAAGAAAATATTATTTTTCATGTACTGCAGTTTTGAATTATTTGTTCGTAATTTTTCAAAGAAGTTTAACCTCTATGAATTGTACAATTATTGCAAAAATATAATTGTAACAGATGATTTTTCTTATAGATGAAATGTATGTTTTTTGTACATACTTAAAATTTGTATGTTTTTTCTTAGAACACAAATTTAATTTTAGTATATTTCAAAGTTGTAATTTTTGAAATAAGTTTTGTAGGAATCCATTTCTCAAGCACTCAGAATTTTAAGATTTTTTTTTCAGCCGGATTATGCGATCCAAAAATACAAATATAATAGAGACATTCCTTAGACGAAACTCGCAAATGCGATTAAAGATATCGCACGTGTGTCCGAGAATATGTATTTCTTTTTTTACACAGACAAATACGAGTATTAATAGACAAACTTTTCTAAATTTTGCTTTTCCTCCTCTCACGATTTCATCGTGGCGGATTTTCGTCGCCTGACGCAATTCCGACAAGTAAAAAACGAATAGAGGTAATATATTATGGAAATTTGTACATAATTGAGGATGAGGCTCGGAGATCCGTCGTCGAGGAGGAAGGACGTGGTGGTGCCGGTTACGCAACCCTGGGACAGGTGCTCGCAACGGGACTTTATTGATTTAGGTGTGCTTAGGATGTTTCGCGCGTCTGGTTCGGGTGCACGATCGTGGGCAATTAAGATATGGCAAAGATTAGTGGCAAAGTGGGACAGTGCAGTGAGTGATACTGCGACCTCGTCGATAGGCATATAATGCAATTGCATTCGATGATGGGCTTAACGCGGAGCGGCGGATGGTAGGTCAGGAGATCGCGGTGCTGGAGGTGGCGTTTGGATATTAGCCCCGAGGATGAGGATGAGGATGCGGATGCAACCGGTGGTATTGGTGATGAATGAAGTTGAACTTACTGTAGATGCTGGAGTCGTCCAGGGTGCCGTTGACGGTACCATCGGGTAGTAGCTGCAGGTGTCTGTTCTTAATGAACATCTGAATCTTGCGGGCTGTGCCGGTGATGTGGGACAGATTGGTACTGCGCTCACTTCTTGCCGCCGAATCTTCGATGAATTGCGGCGGCGGCGATGCTTCGGGACGATTAATTCGGGCTATCTGGGGCGAAGGAGCGCAGCTAGGAAGACCACACATCACAATTACCAGTAACCCCACGAACAGCGCCTTCACCATGACTGGGACATATCCACACTCACTGTCACTCACTGCCGGGCCGTTGCCGCCACGACAACCACGACAGCCGCGATACGAGGAGCACTGCTACAACACACATAATAACATTTTCTTCCAAACATACTGTGCGCTCGGCGGCCGGGTTCAGACTGACTGCTCGACTACTCGAGACTCACGTGTATCCTTTTTGATAGCGCTATGTCTCCACAATATATACCACCAAGGATTTCGAATACAGTCGTAAGCAGAACAAAATGACGAGAGTGTAACGATAAATAGGAACGATCAGGAATTATATAAAGAAAAAAACTCTTCCCGTCTGGTCCGCGTGCTTCTTTCCTTTCTCTCTTATTATTTTTGTTTCCTAACTTTTATTTTTGGTTGTTTCTAGATTTGCTTTTCTCTCCGTCTTCTTGAATGTTCGTAACTACTTCAGTTTGTACGCGTGCCACCCTTGCGGTTCGAGTGCGCCGGAAGGGATGTTGGGTGTCGAACTGTTGACCCGGTGAACACAGAGACCATGTATCGTCCAGGATAGATGGACCTGTGCGTGTGCGTGCGTGCGCGCTGATGCTGGGATCTCTCGTAGATTCGTAGACCAGCGAACGTCTTTCGATGCGACCGAGGTGTGTCTGGAGGATGATGATGAGGCTGCAAGCGCTCGCACCGAAGCGAGGAACTGCGGCGGCTGCGTCGAAGCACTTCTATTTTATTATTACACTCCATACAAATCGCATTACCTCTGCTTAAGAGTCGCGTCATTAGTTATCAATAATAGCCCTCGAGGCTCGAGCCCTCTAGCCGCAACCGCGAATCGAACGAATCCGATGGATTGGCCGTTTCCATTGCTGGAAACCCTACACCGTCCACATCTTAATTGCCCTGTTTTCATCAGCAAAAGTGGATACTACTCCAGTTTCAGAGTTACGCTCGCGTTTACCAAACGCTACTCCACTTTCCTTGCAACAATTCAATATCGAATATCTAATACTACGCAGATTCCACAAATATTATACTCAAACTAAATAATTATTATTACTAACATTGTAATAAATTGAAATAATTACATAATTATATTAACAAATATTAGAAAATATAGTTTGGTAGGGCTAATACAAATTTATAAACAAAAATAATTAGAAAATTGATTTTGCTCCAAAGTTCGAAAATAAAAGATTGCCATGAGGAACGTAATTCCATTATATAACTCCTTATTTTATATGAAACATGGCATTTTTCGGACTATAAAACGCACATTTAATAGAGGAATTGACTTAGAAATATGATGTTATGATACTTTTCTTTTATAAAATTCGTTTTTTTAAGAACATATTTAACCTTTTTTTAATGACAATTATTTTTGTTTTGAATTTTTTATTAAAAACGCGTAAATATTTATAATGATTATTGCAACTCAATGTTTTAATGAAATATATATATATATAACTGAAAAAATATTATTATCATGTAGTTTTTGTAAATTTTTATTCCAGTTTGTTAGAAATTCAAGTATAGTAAATTATTTAAAAATTATTGATGAATATAATATTTTTTTTATGTAGAAACACTGCGGTTAGTAGCCCATTATAAATTATTTATAAAAAAAAAACACAAGTCTACAATAGTATTAATAATAAAAACATTATATGTGTCAACATTTCCTTATTTTCTTTAAATATGTAACAAAGTCATAATTTTTATTTAATGATTTTCAATTACAATAAATATTTATAGTAATTGTAATTAGTTACAAATATTGCACAAATGAAATGTGTTGACAAAATTTACTCATGAAAAACTACATTTTGAATTGAAGGATCAATTGGCAATCAATACCTTGCATAGTCCAGCTTCCGGATTGAAATTGTGAAAAAAAAAAGAAAATTTTAATATAACATAATAAAAATGATCTTTATTCATTTGTACAGTTATATAAGAATTTAAAAGTAAAACAATTAAAAGTTTACTGAAAAAAACAAATTATACTGACTTCAACAAAATATACTGACAAACTTCTTTCGAAAAATGTTTCGTGATCTAAGACTAACTTTATTAATAATAATATTTTTTAATTATAATATAATTGGAAAATTGTTAACGAATTTAAAATAGTATATAGATTAGTAATTTAATAATATTAGGTTAATATTATACAAAATTGATTTTTAGTAGAGATTTTTTTGTATAATTTCCAATGGAAAGTTTGTATTGTTGTATATTTCATTGCAATGAATGTTAGTATTTTGTGATTCAAATATTGATTAGTAAACAAAATATTACTGACCTTGTTAAATAAAAAAACGCGTTTGCACTTATATAAGTAAAAAATATATATAAAAAAAAATGCAGTTCTAACCGTTTTATATCTCTGTTAATAGGTAACAAAAATATGACTCCATTGACATTGCTATTAAACGTAAATATGTGTAATAAACGTACGTAATTTAATGTTTACTAATAAAAAATTGCTATTGCTATTACATATTATAGTTTACAAATTGTAATTTAATCTAATAACTATTAAATTTGATTCACAAGCATTACATTACGATAAATAAATTCGAAACTCAAATTTTTATTAGTTATTATTGTACGTTATTGTCCATTGTTTGTTAATCTATGAGCGTAAGGTTACAAGTATTCATTCGAGTTAAATAAATAAGGTTTATGATAGTTGATGAAATTCGTACCAATAACAATTTGATACTTGTATCAAATTTCGATAAATAAAAAGGAAACGTAAATCATTGTTATAATGTTTTTATATTATTATAGTTTTGGGTTTCTTCCTTAGCGAAAGATAATAATCCAATTTTATTATTCAACATTATTGATTTTGGTTAGATTTTTTTTTCATTTCTTCAATAATTTTTTTCTTGGAAATATTATTGGATTGTTACCTCAAGAAAATGTAACAGAAACGTCATCAAATGTTGTTACGTATTCTATCACATTAGTAATTTGGATAATAGTATTAATAATCGCATAGTCCGGCTCCGAATAGTACGGATTCACTATAGTCAGGTTTGAAAATTTCAAAGCAAAGTTATTAGAAATTTATTTTATAATATTTAAATGATTATTTTAAATCCCTTTCAGAAACCGCACTAAAAGAGTTTTTTGTTTGTATTTAATTCTTCGATTAATCCAATTTCAAATAATTTGAGATATTGGGAACCCCGGACTATGCGAGTTATTGCTGTATATTATATGAGGTATACATTGTACTACAAAAAATTGAAAACGAGGATTGAAGTTCTTGAAAGTGAAAGTAATAAAAATGAGTCTAATTTCTGAACACGTGATAAGAACTTCTAAATTATCAGCTTGAAGTAATATTTTAATAAATACAAAAGTTACTATATAATAGAAAATTATAGTATATAAGACCATGAAATATCGATACAAAAACAAATAGTAGAAAGAAAAATTATGAGAGCTAAATGGGTGCATTTGGTTAAAAAAACCTTGATAATCGATGCGAAATAAAATGATGAATACTTAACGCACGATAAAGTAAAGTAGGTAATAAAATTTTAATGAACAAATATATAAATAAACTTGATATTGAAACGTGACTAAAGTAACATTTAATAATCATAATACAGTATAAAATTATACTCAAGTTATATAAAAAAAACACCACGAAATCATTGAATTACTAATTATGTTATTTTTAAATATATAATTAATGGTAAATGTATTCAAGACAAATAAATTCATTGAAAAAAAATGTTTAGAATTATTTTGTTCTGTAATACAATCTAATTAAAATATAAATATGCAAATAGAAATTGTTAGAATACTTGATTCATGTATATTATAATAAAAATCCAACATGAGATAGAAATAAATCAGGGAAAACAAATTATTTTGTATAGAAAACTAATAATTTTTTCTCATGTAAAATGTAGTTGGTTTTTCAATTTTTAAACAGGACTATAGTGAATCCGTACTGATCGAAGCCGGAGGTATTAAGTATGTGAAATTCATAAAATTTACTTTTTTCTTTGGTATACAATTAAGTAAATAATTGCAAATAAAAATGTACAAAATCTATTCAAACATTTTGTTATATTGTTTTTTTAATTTATATATTTCACCAATTTTTTATAGTAAATACAGTTTAAAGTTATACAAATTGACAATTAAAAAAATATTATATAATAATAACTCTAGATTATTTAGTTGATTAAATATGATTAAAAATATGTCTATTGACCAAAAGATATTTTGCAATCAATTATTGATGAAACCATAAAAAAAAGATTTATTTAAGTAATTATTTGGATTAGATGGATAAATAAATCATATTAGATTTTATTCGTGAATAATAGTTTTGTGTAGTATATATATTTTTTTTTGATACAGATAAAGCAAATTTTTATTTGTACAGCGAGATAGAAATCTGATTGTGCAAACACGCATTGCGTTGTGTAAAATGGTATTTATTTGTTGATATAAATGTATTAAGTCGCACGGATAGCGTAACTGTTAACCTGTCAGATGGTAGGTATTAAGAGATTACGCAACGTATCTTTCGTTTAATCTACGTGAAGTGCACGGCTGAAGTACAGGAAGGAACCGAGGTGCGAACGCCGGCGAACGACTGCAGCAACTATCGCCGTAATTATCGTAGGTCGTCTTGTTACGTATACACATAATACCCAACGACGACGGATACAAGGACTGATCTATAATAACAGTACATCTTTGCAGAAAGACGGAATGTGGTATACAAGTATGTATAATATGACATACAATCAATTTGAAATTTTATTTAATACAGGTAATCTACCTATAATACGATACTTACGTATCTCAAAACTTATGTCACTTATGTCGCATTATGTAAATTTGTATCATACTAATTTATATTAAAAATTATCTTTAAGTTTTAAAATCCAAGAAAACCATACTACTTTATAACTATGATAAATATGTTTAAAACTATCAAAAATGTATTAAATATTTTATAATTTAGCTATTATCTATATTACATATATATGACCTGAAGATTACTTACGAATTTGAAGATCTATTTGTTCAGTACGTGAATAAAAATAATAAAATCAACATTGGTACAAGTATTTTACTTAATACTAATTTTTTTTTTTAATTTAATGGTGCCATTATTCGTATATATAAAACCGAACGATACATATAAAAATTAAACCGCACAAAAGGAGACTAGACTGTAAAAAAATATCATTTATATATAAACAATAATTTTTAGAATCTATTTTTATTTTATGTTCAATTAAAATTTAGTTTCTTTCGAATCGGACTAAAGTTAATTAAAACTGTATGACTAAAATCACTTACTCCTGACATTTTCCATTCGATATTGTTCTCAATCGTCTGAAAGTCCGTACAAGATCTAGTATATATAGATACAAAGTTTTTTTTTTGAGAAGAACCCATATCATTTTCCTAATATTCTTTGCATTACAAATATATTTGATATTAAGATTTGTATAGTTATAGCTTTGTCTCAGTTAGGAGAATTGGTGGATCAAGGACCCAAAAATGCAAGTTGTCGTATCCAGGGATAAACTTGTATTGTATTATGAAAAATAATTCATACGGTATCAAAGTTATGATATAAGGTAGTTAATAGGGTTTATCGATTTTTAAAACCAGAAATTTATATAATTTAAAAATCGGGTGTTTTCTAATTGT